AGCGCCTTCTCCTTGTTTTCTTCCTGCGTCTGCTCGGCTAAGGGGCAGGAATAATCATTCTCTATTGGGTCAAGTTTGGACAGCGTGCAACCCTCCAGATGCCAGGCAGGCAGCATAACCTTTCAAATACAGGCTGCACAATTTATTTAGTAACGGTTTCCTGAGCTCTCGGCATGTGCCAACCCCTTTTCTAAGCACTTTAAAGGCAGCAAGATAGAAAAGAGATGAGAATCCCCTGGCTTCGTGGAGCTTACGTGATAGTGGGGAAGACCATCTGTAAACAAAATAATAAACAGCAGACGTAAGCCAGCAAACACGCCATGGTGAACTAGGGGCAGGCACAATGGTTGGTCCTATCAAATGAGAGTGCAGGCGCCACAAAGGCTGTGTTTAGCACTTCCCCTTGCTCAGAGCAAGTAATCAGTCAGGACCCAGTGACTGATCAGCAGGTTGCCTTGAGATCAGCAATAACAGAAAACAGCATGGCATTATTAGATGATGACTTGATTAGCCTAAGTCCATTACTTCATACAGACGCCCCAAACAACTCCCAAAAGATTCAACAAGGAGTGCCCGGTACCTTCACAGTGCCGTCCGGGAACTGGAGGGTCAGAACGTAGCCGTCAATCTGCGCATCAGGGGGCGTCCAGGTCAGCTTCCCACCAGACTGTGTTACCCCAGACGGACGGAAGTTTTTGGGAGGGTCGATGTCTGTACATTAGAAGTCAGGCAATCCTTGTTACTGAGATGCAGCAGACTCAAGGTGTCACTTCTGAGATGTTAATTTTGTTTTATTTTCTCCCTACCGTTTAGCTCTCTCCTTTCATACAGGTTCCAAACCTAACCCACTGCCAATGAGTCAATTCCAAATTTTCTTCCTTGACAACGGGCCTTCCTAAACCTTCCTCCCCGCCCCCAACAGTGGAGACCAGTTGAGGGCGATAGAATTAAGCAGTAGCCATGTGCCCGAGAGAGGGGCTTGGTGCCCCCATGTGCCCCAGCAGATCCTCAAACAGGGGCTGTGAACTGCAGACTCTGGGAGCTAGGAGAGCCCAGATGGGAAAGGGTCCTGTGTGCACGCAGACCCCAGGGAGGCTCAACAGACCCCTGCCTGGAAAGACTGCCGCCACACCCAATGGCACCAACAGTGCCAGGCCGAGGCAAACGCCTGAAGGCTTCCCGGCAGTCCTGCCAGAGGGGGATATCTCTAAATACAGTTTTGCCCAAAACCGAGTGAAGGGCTCATGATGGAAACTGAATGGGTATGAATACACTATTCTATGTTGTACATATCTAAGTGTGTAGGTTTTGACGCACATCTGCCATATAAAGCCTTGTGCGGGACAGGGGCGCAGAAAGGAGGCAGGCGGAGGGAAGGCAACCGAGATGGAAGGAAACCAAGTGCGTCCTCCTGATTCCCGTAGGACGTCCCCGCCCAGACAGCAGAGGGCATGCGCGCGGGCGGGCGCGAAAACTAAGGTTCCGCAAACAGCCAAACAATGTTCCGGACAGTCGGCTCGTTTTCGTTTTTTTAATTTTTAAAGCAAATAAGACACGAATGGAGATTTCCACTGTGAAAAAAAAAATATCACGGAGGAAGGTGATTTTAATTTAGAAGTTTCCCAAAAGGATGTCTCCCGGCTCTTTTCTACCCAGTCGAATTTCCACTGAGGACGGAAATGCGGTTCCTTAATGGAAATCAGACGGCTTTTGTTTTGAATCAGAATGTTTGGGCGAAAGCGGAGTTTCTAGACTATATGCTTGGTTTGGCTTTTCGAAGTGTAACATCTGCACTGGGTTTGATTCTGCCCATTGCATGGGAGGGAAAAATGGATTTCTATCTTGCAAAAATGCACAAAGCCATAACTATTTAAATATTTTCACTGGGTTTCTGACATTTCTCTGTCCACCTGGCCCCTGGCCATGGACTTGAGATGTCTGCCTTAGTGGCACTCACATATCTACGAAGTAAAGTGTGGTCACCTGTTTATCCTTGACTTTTTAGAGGAGGGAAGTGGGACACGGAGGAGACCAGAGGGGAAGCGAGGGAGAGAGGCACAGAGGGCTGTGAAGAGGCGGGCGGGCGCTGGGCGCTGGGCACTGGGCACTGGCGCTCCCGGGAGAGGAACTCTGAGGAGTAAGGGTTCTGGGATGGGAAAGAGTTTCTTGGCTTTCTGCTCCTGCTGACTGTTGGAAGGAACCCCAGTGCTGCTCTGAGCTCAGCATCAATCTACCAGGCTGGGTTTTTTGCGGGGCAGTTGCTCTCCCCAGGTCCCTCTGAGGCCAAGGTCCATGATGCTTCGCCAGCACCAACCTCCCACCACACACAAAGCACTTGCCATGCAGGCACCTGTAATCATCAACTGGGAGTGCGTAGAGAGTG